AAATAGATGGAAAATTGTCCACACGTTGTAGAATAAGTTCCTTGAAGCGTGCGAGGGTTATATTTCCATGCAGCACTATGATTCTCTAAAAATGTTTTGAATTCTCTATGGTAAAATGAGGGTTGCTTTCCAAATGAATGGAAGAGAATTCTGAAACAGTTTCATTAGGGAAATACATTGCAACCCAATGACTTCCTATCTCAGTGCTTGGATCTGTGTTCACGATTAGTCCTCATGGATATTTTTCAATGACTTCTGGAAGCGTGAACACTCCACAAAACTTGTCTCTACTTCTCATATCCTGTTCCATAACGTTCATGATTTCCAAGGTATTCATTTCTAAGACGTGAAATCGTACAATACRTTTCTTTAGCGATCGATCTCTTATATGTTATCGAATTCTGCATAGCAAAACAAATTTATAGCTTCAGTCAGTGCCCTATCGAATACGATTTCTAAAGTTAGGTTTCCTTTTTGTCTTAAAGTCAAGAGTTCGGGGGAGTCACATCCATCGGGTGTGAGGTCAACGACAAATAGACCATACCCTTGATAGTAATCTGATCTAGTAATAGAGTTTCCATTATCTAGACGAAATTTTCCCGTTCCCGTAAAAAGAGTTTGATATGCTTCAATGAAGTGGCCCCCGTTTGCTGTTAATTTTAGCTTCATCAGTTTTCCTCCAGCGTGTTCATCGTCGATATAAACACCAATCGAAGACATCCCAAACAGCTTAAACTCAAAAGGATTTTGTTTCAAGTGTCCATTGACTGCAGAAGCTCTTACCAATCCAACAACAAATCGTTTAGGAATTTGACCATCAAGCACGTTATCCTTAGTGATCGACGGGGTAGTACCTGGAATGGTAAAAGCTTTACATTCAGTCCTACGGATAGTATAACAGGCAGGAGATTTCATGAGGGCTGCTTCGTGCGCCATGATGATGTGAGGGGCTATTTCCATTTTGCGAACTTTCAATACGGCCGAGGTTAGGTTAATCACATATTCCTTGCCCGTTGCTCCAGACATAAGGCAAAATTCGGGACTGCTTGGAATGAGTTTTACTTTCATGCCCACAAAACTTAGAAGATATTTACGAATCGTAAAGGCATCGACAAACAGGGGGGCTATCATTTCAAATTCAGTGGATTCTTTGATCAGGTCATTTCTTTTCTTAAAACCCTTGTTTGTTCCTTCAGCTGCGACTCGGGTATCATCAAAAGATCCTGCTGTATCCTCATTCCACATGCTCGTTTGAAGTTGAGATCCTTTCGCCCCTGTGCCAAAGTTAAGTACTGTTTCGAGGTAGGCCTTGTACGATTGAGTATTCGTAGGATTAGAAACTCGTGGCGAACCAAAAAATACATCGATCTGTTTCCACAGACTATGAAGAAAGTTGTTTACTGGTGCAACCCTTTCGTTCGCCTCCAAGGCGGTGCCATCCTTATGTTTTATAGTACCCGCAACATAAAGCTGGGTGTGTGGTAAGCGTATGCAGTCTTCATTTCCTGGTATACTGAATTCTATAGGTGTATTACTGTTCAACGTAGAAAGGGGGCGAAATTCCACATCAACTTTCTTTAAAACGCTGTTTTGTGTAGGACTTATGGTAAACAGATCCAACTCATCAATGGTGCACTCATATGATTTGGGGTGAATAAGCGATATTTCGTCTTCCAACTAGCGACTAGAACCAAATATGTCTTGAAACGTTACACGTTTGCCCATCTTCCTCGAACTGAATGACTGAGTCTTGTCTTCGATCTTATATACAATTTCTGTTTCACTTGTCTTTCTCTCGTAGTCCTACGCTTCTTCTGCTTGTTTAAAGGCGTGGCTTTTCGCTTTTTCTTCTTCCTACCTGAACCGGATTGAGAATTCAGTACGCCCTTCAGTTGGGTGGCGGCATTCCCTCTTAACTCTTTTCCCGTTTCACGAATTCTGTTTTGCAGTGAAGTTTTGAGGTCATTCCCTGCAAGCGTGTTGTTTATGACGCTCACCCCTATTTTCAGTGCAACTTCACCCACCTGTTTGGATGCACTCTTGAGAAAGAGAAATGCACTTCTAAATAAACTACCAAAAAAACCCTAAACCTCCACCAGTTTGTACCTGTCCATAACCTCTCTGAAAAAGCTTTCCACCAAAAAAAGGCGAGGATGGTCCATCACCTCTTTGCTGTGCTTGGTTGAGATAGTAAAGCTTGTAAGCTTCAGGAGATGAGGTATGTCTTTGGTTCATTTTCGTTTTTCTTTCTTAGGCCAAATAAGGTAACTGCTTTACCTTAAAATGTAGGTTGCAAACTACTCTCCCTCGTTCAAATGATATCTTCCTGCCTGCGTCGTCCCTTAAATCGATTTTGATTTTCTCAAATTCTTTTGTCTCTACTGAAATGTACATGGGGTTGTCAAACGATTTGTAGATAATGTCCCCGTGTTTCCCTTCCACAGGGATGACTTTCAGTAACCTGGCTCTCTTATCTCAAAACATCTGATATCCTGCAATAATCACATAGACGTAAATACAATGAAATACAGCATTGAGATCATTCACATACGGTGCTACTACGGACTGGGTAATCATAATCTTTCCGCCTCCAAATCCTAATATTTGTGACAACTGTTTTTCCAAAACTAACTTGTAACCTTCACGTAAGGATACGCGTACTTTTTCTGAGGTGGTGTTACCCGCTAACTCAATGTTGGAGTTTACTTGAACCCTAAACTTGTCGTTGACAACCTGCAGTAGGTCAGATATTGTATCATAATAACCAGCTTCTATGACCATCGTATCCGAAAAATCATTTTTGTCTTTATACTCAATGCGTGTCACAAAAGTGTGTGGCCATCATATGCTATGGAGTCCTACTTCATACTCTCCTCTCTCAGTTGTACAAGTTCTGGAAGATGCACCCTGTAACTCGTTAAGGTATAATCCTCAAAAACATCCAATGAAGCATTCGAGGGGAGTAAGATGTAAAACTGTTGTTCATCCATGTTCAAGATAAAACGATAAATTAAAGGATTTTCTTTGAAAAGCTATTTATACTTTCCTTGTTCTCGATTTGATTTGCTAGTATCCATGAATCGTAGCTCGCTGGATAATCTTTCCAAGACACAAGAATTTCCTTCTTAGCACCCCGCCCTCTCGTTTTTAAGACCTTGTCTATTTTATACACATCGTCATCTTTGATAACCTTAGGAGTTCAAATTCGTAAAACAAACCAATGATCTCATCTCCATTGGCTTCTTTTAACTTATACACAGGCGGTGTGCAATACGTTTAGAAATCGTGAAAATCTCATCGGTGAGATCAGCGGTCATCGGTCAGCGGTCATCCATCATGGCGGATGTAATATCATACAATCTACCCGCTGAATTAGTCACAGCCCCAAATGTTAATGCATTTAAAAGTAGGGTCTGGAAATTAGAACACGAACTTTGGCCCTGACCTACCCGAGCATTTAAACCTCGAAGAGAGAGCATACTTGTAATTTGGTAAATGTAAATGTGTACTGAGGAAGGTAGCCTTTATCGAATGTTCTTCTCGCTTTAGAAATCCTAACCTTATCCCCTACATGGAACGCAAACTTCGTCTTACCATCTATTAAATCACGATCATAAAGCACATGCCATATGTGATCTTCGTTTTCTCAATTGACTAAACGAGGTTTGGTTTTGATGCTAGAGTGATATCGATCGTTATACCCCTCGACAATGTCTTGGGTTCCCATATAGGTCATATAACGATACATCAACGCTTTCAAAGAACGAATCGACCTCTCAGCCAAATTTGCTTTGGTATCCGACTCCGTCGCGAAGAAAATGATACTATTCTCCTTTAGCAAAGCCTTGAAAGGGCGATCCAAAAACTCTTTTCCGTGATCTGTCTGGAATCTTTTAGGTTTCCTTCCCTTTTTCAAAATCTTTTTAAACGCTTTAACTACACTTTCAGCCGACTTGGATTTCATCGGCTCTGCCCACATAAATTTAGAAAGAATATCGATATACACCAAGATTTATCTTATGCCATCATTATTCGAACTTAATTTTTGAATATCTATCAAATCACCTTGCCACTGTTCATCAACTCTTCCCACTATAACACGGTTTCGTCGAAACCTTCGTCTAGCAGGTTTATGAAGGGTATATGCAGGTTGGGCTGCCAACCATTCACGAATTTGGTCAAGCGTTATTTTCCTCTTCTTGTATTCTTTGACAACACGCAATGTAAATGCCGACACGGACGAATAATACGACGACTTTATCGCGCGTGAACGGGCTTACGAGTAATTGAGGAGATTTCGGGAATAATTTTACGGACAGCACTTGACGACGAATTGAAGTTTATTACAATCCAAGAACTTGTCGTAAACTAGAGTTAAATGATACAAAGGGCATAACTTAATTACTAAACTAGAAACCTGCATAACATTYCAATCATACCATTACGGAAATRCATGCTTAACAAAGAATGATAAAGAGAATCACAATAAACATAGAAAACTAACATAATATTCTAGCGTAGATGAATTACATTGAGAATAAAATACTATAAATGTAGCATAAACTTATAGGCCCTTAGGCGTAAAGTGATAACATATAATACACACCCATAGGTATAGTGGGCTTCCAATCATGCACTTTAAACTATAACTTATTATGAGAAACAAAGCGTACTTACATAACAGTCCCGCTTGCCGAGGTTAAGATATAGGTTATTGCTCCAACAAAGATAACTAAAAAACTACTCTAAACTCTTTGATCACGAATAGATGTGTTCTCGTCRACTTCATACACTAATACTAACGCTAAGTGGAATTGAGACGTGTTGTAACTAAGTGAAACGTTAAGGATATGACGTAACTAATAATAGATACAAAAATAAAGTGTTCGTGGGCGGGGCTGATAAGCCTTCCTTTACA